ATCTATCTATCTATCTATCTATCTATCTATCTATCTATCTATCTATCTATCTATCTGTATCTATCTATCTCTCCATCTGTATCTATCTATCTCTCCATCTTTATTTATAATTTATGATTTATAATTTTTTTTTCTCAAAAACACGTGAACTTAACAATATGATATTTTTATAAAATGTAAAATCTCATATAGCTATTGTCGATGAAATTACATTTATACAGGAGCATAATATTTATTGTAACTGAATATATATGACAAAGCGTATTTATATTGATAATATCACATATTTCTCGTTAAAGGTTTGCCAAACTTATTATATCTAATTTTACGGTATTATTCGCCATTCTGATTATTGTTGGTGTCAGTTCTTTAAGTATCAATCTTTTTCAAGTAAGTATAATGTGTTTTTCTATTTTGTGCTGTTGACTTTGCTTTTTGAATATACATTCCTTAGTTTCTTCAATAGATAACATTAATAAACAATAATACTGAAGATGCATGTATAGTCACTGTTCTTATTGTCATACATTTAAGTTATATGTTTATTGTTAATTACGGCGGACAAAAATTAACAGACCATGGAATGGAACTTTTCAAAGCCATGTGAGTGTGTATGTGTGTATAGCATGTCTTACATATATACTTTCAGGATTATATTTATACTATGGTATTATATATTTCCATACAGACATACCGCTTGTATTCGATTTAAACTGATTGTATTATTATTCCGATACTTATATATACACGTGTAACTATTAATTTAACGTAAAATTTTATCACAAATATGTTAGGATTAACTTTTTGCTTATTTGTAACTGCTTCTATTTAAATCTACCATGTTAAAAATTGCAGTTATAATGGACTGTGGTATGCTGCACCATTGCATACACAGAAATTATTATTATTTATGATGAAAAGAGGAAATATAAACGTCACTTCAATATTCGGCGGCTTATATGAAGCATCCTTGGAAGGTTTCGGTAAAATTAAAATTTCTTTACCAATAAAATCGAACTTTAATCTGGATTTAACGAGCAGTTTAATTTGCCATTTTCAGCTTACGAATGCAGCAGTATCCTATTTCATGGTGATGTATTCTACGCGATAACATGGCATAAAGAAAAATTTATTATAAATCGGGTATTGTATCGAATTAGACGATTTTGCTATATTTATAAATTATTAGAGTTTTTGAATATAATGTATATTGAATATGCAGTATGTATATAACGTATATATGTATATATGTATATATGAATATAAATGTTTATTATTTTTTTCCGAATACTTACGTATGACACTAATGAACAGATAATCCCATAAAAAAAAATAGATGTTTAGTCGAATTTGATAGCACACTTTGAATATAGTGAATGAACAAAAAGTCTGAATTTCTTATTGCCTATTGTGATATCGATGATAAAACATTAAATTGGTTTGATTCAATCATGAATAAACTATTAAAAGAATTATCTGAAGTGATACCCTTCCGTTCTGAAACTATAGTATTCAAAAAGATATATGTGGCATTGATAGAGCATTATTGTATGTGATATATGGGCAATAAAATATAATCAGTTAATAAATAATTATGTAACTCATTTATGGATTTTTTTATTATATTTTTTTTTATTGTAACGGTCTATTTCTTATATTTTGCTTCTTTTGTTAATTTATGCAATATCCAAGCCAATCTGAAATCTTGAAGAATGTTTGTAATGTTTATGTTCAAAGTAACTAAAACGATAGAAATATGATAAGATGTGTAAACTTGTTAAACTTCCAATTAGTTACTTTTAATTAGTGCATTTATTGTTTCATGTATAGATACGATCAACGTAATGTTCGAAAGAGGACTGATGCATCGTTCGATACTTGCATTCGCTACTGCGCATACGCGTAAAAAAATATAGAAAGTGATAATGTAATATAAAGCAATATTCTCTCGCAGCCGAGTGAATAAAAGTTTTACACATCAATTTGGATAATTTACGTTCCCTCCCTAGAGTAATATGCTATAGCTATAGCATTCGAGAAACACCGATCTGCCTATGACTTTTCTTTCGAAATATAATAATTTTAATCAAATGCACGTTGTAGGAAATATCAATTATTTTGCAAGAATATATCCTATCATTTGCTATATTTCTTAGATAATTTAAAAAAATAAAAATGATAGGGGGAAGGATATATAAGTACTGCGCTATAGTCACTATAAGTATTAATACCTTGTCGTTCAGTTACATTGTTCAGTTTTATAACATGTGTGTAGTTGAAGAATATTACTATACTATAATAAATAGATTTTTTCTCAAAGTATTAGGTATCTGGCCTTATGATAGATTGCGTCTTGTATTATTGCAGCGAATATTAATCATTATTTCAACTGTAACATTCATTTGCATGCAGGTAATAATCGATTTTTATAATAATGGTAATGTTCAAAATAGTATATAGCTTCTTGTTAATATTTTAAAATATTTTTCAAAAATTATTCACTTTCTAAGTTTAGTAATCCTGTGAGCGAATGGAAATATTATAATGTAAAGTCAATATATTGAAATCGCCCATTCACAACAGTAACAATGCGATATATGTTTATTATAATTAATACAATTACTATATATTTATTACTTTCAGTTATCAGTTTTCATTACATCGAAATATGATATGGCTCTCTTCATTAGAATTATGTCATACGCTTTTCCTTTTATAATAATTACAACAAAGTATTGTTTTTTTATTTTAAAATCAAGAAGTGTAAGTTTATCTGCGCAAGCAACAGTTTTCATTTTATATTTAACACGTTAACTAAGCCAATAAATATTTAAATCACAGATAAAGAATTTACACTATCTAATTCAAAAAGACTGGAAAATAATGCGAGATAAGATTGAAAGCAAGATTATACAAAAATATGCTCATTACGGCCAATATTATACTATCCTTATATTCTGTAAGAAAATATTGATTTTTTAATACCGTTCTATATTTATCCGTATACATATGTAGTGTGCTATGAAAGTAGTATTCTCTTTCTTTCTACTCTCTTTCTTCAATAATGTACAAGTGATTAAATTTAAAAAATATTTATTACTGTTTATTTTATAATCTAAAATATTCTTTAATCTATATGTGATATTCAAAAAAAGATAATAATTTCTTTTTTCTTTTTCTCGTTGTGAAAATAAAATATATATTACATCAAAATCATATTTTATAACACAAAAGTGCACTTTCACAAATTGTTATTTAAAATTGTTTATACAATTTGTGTATATCCTGATACGAAGTATAACATAATCTGTCATACCTATGAAAATGAAATTATATTGCTCACGAAAAATAAAATTTATATAATTTAAATTATTTATTATGTTCACAAAATATTTATCTTACGTGTTCGCACGTCTTACAGTGTATGGCGGTTTTATGATAATCGGTATATTTTTTATCCAATTTTATCCGATTATTCTCGACATTGTTTTGCCATTGGATGAACCTCGGCCGTACAAACTTCTTGTTACGTTGGAATATTTTGTCTCGCAGGATAAATACATCTACACCACAGCGCTGCACGAATGCGTAATCATAACATTATGTGGGTCAATGATATTAGCCACGACAACGCAATTGTTAATATTTATATTTCATTCTTTCGGGATGTTTAAAATTGCCAGGTGATGATCGATTTATATTATTATATTATATCGGCGATTCGATCACGAATTAAACTTGGGAATATTTGCAGTCATCGAGTAAAATATTACATTGAGGATAGCGTATTGCACACATCAAATCTCAAAAAAGAACGCGCAATTTGCGAGAACATAATTCATGCTGTAATTGCACATCGTAGAGCTATGAAGTCAGTATACACACACACACATTACATTCTTTTTTTAAATTTTTTTATATTTTTTAAGACATTTTCTCAAAATTTTTATGACTTGTTTTTATGACTTTTGTCTTTGATGTCGTCGAACATAAAAACATAAATATAAAAGAAAATTAATTATGATTTACAATAAGTTACATTTTAAAGATATTTAGCTTTTTTCTTCTTTTATTTCTTGGTTTTTTTTTTCATTTAATTACCAATCGGCCAATAGTTTTTTTTTTTGTTTTATAATAATAATTGTCTTTCTATACAGTGTCCCATCAGTTGTTACGATCTATTTCTTTTAATTTAAAAGATAAAAGGGGGTGGCCACTTTAGGTGGGATACTCTGTATATACAATAATTTCGTCATTTGTTTAAAGGTTTTCCGATGTTTTAGTATCAACATTTAATGTGCCATATTGCATCATAGCTATCTTTGGAGTACTCTCGTTGAGTATCAAATATCATTAAACAAACTCCAACGAGTTTATATATATGTAAATTCTCGTAAATTTACTCTATTGTAAACTCCGTTTGTGAATTATGATTTCTAATATAACAGTTCCTTGAAGCGATAACTATATCAAAGAACATGGAAGACATAGCAATATCTTTTCTTCTTACTATAGCCCATTTACTTTACATGTTTGTGGCGAATTTAATCGGACAGAAAATTACGGATTACAATAGCAAGATTTTTAGAATGGCGTGAGTATTAAGTATTTTTGTTTAAGTGTACCATACAATACGCTAGAATAAAAAAATAATTATTTTAAGAGTATAAGAGCTATTTGTAAGTCTTCCAATTCTTCAAGGTAAAAGTTTTGAACTCATCATCTCGAATAAAAATCTTTTTGTAAGGATTTAATTTTTTATTTCTATATATAATAAAAGGGGAAAAGGAATAGAAAAGAAAATGTAACAATTATGACTTAAAAATGTATACATGTATACATGTTTAAGTAATAAAACTTCAATCCGCATTCCATAAAATTTGTTTTTTGATTGTTTCGAAATATATATAGCTTCTTTTGCATAAATTTATATATGATAACTCTCTATTTATTTATTTTTATATAAATTTTTAGATACGGTACGTCGTGGTACTTAATGCCTATACCATCGCAAAAGCTGATTTTGTTTTTAATGCAAAAAGCTGGCAAAGAGTTTAACTTAAGGATCGGCTTTATATTTGTGGCAAAGATAGAAACTTTTAGCATGGTAAGGAGCACTAAAAACATAAAACCGATAGAATTCTGTTAATATCTGTACAATATTGAATTTTTCTAGCTTCTAAATTCTGCACTATCTTATGTCACCGTATTATATTCTGCTCAATAAGAAAGAAATAGGACACACGGTCAAAAGATAATCTTTCATTTTCCCATAGATGCATGTGAATATGAAAATAAAAAAATATTTTGCGTAAATATAAGACACAGGCATTGGATATAATTTTGTAAAAAAAATAACCATGATTTTTTTGTAATTTTTCATCATTTTTCATCATTTTACTTACATCAGTATAAGATTTTTAAATATGTTAAAATTATTATAATATATATATATATTATCACATATATATAGAA